AAAAGGAACTTGGGTGATAGAAGAGGTGCTCAAAGCTATTGAAAAAGGTTACCAGATTATAGAGACTACGAATATGGGAATACGATACAATTCAGCTCAGTAAAGACCAGAGGGGTTATTTAGCGGAATGATGAACAAGTTTCTAATAAAACAACAAGGTTCAGGATGGCCCAAACATTGCTTAACGGATGAAGAAAAAACCGTTATATTGATGCATTTTTGGATAGAGAAGACTAAAGCTGGAATTTTCAAAAATTATAGAGGAACCCCTGTTTGAGATCGTTAGCTAAACTTATGCTGAATTCCTTTTGGGGTAAATTTGCTCAAAAAGAAAACCAAAACAAAACCTCAATAGTCAGAGACTGTGGTGATTCTTTGATATGCTGACTATCCTTCTATCTCATGTAAATACAGTTCTCCCGGTAAGGAAGAAGAAACCTTCTCATAACTTGGGAATTTAGAGAAGAGGCCTATGACGTTTCTTCAACGGTTAACGTTGTATTGGCTCATATGTCACGGCCCTAGCTAGACTAAAATATATTCATTCTTGGAGAAAGTGGAAGAAAGGGCAGTTACGTAGATACAGATTCATGTATTTATATCTCTCGTAAGGGATTAAACGACATATCTACAGGCGACTTCATAGGTGATTATGACCGATGAGCTCAATGGGGTTTCATATCAGAGTTTGTTTCTGGAGGACCTAAGAACTACGCCTACAAATATACTACTTTGTCTGGAGAGGAACAGATCGTATGTAAAGTAAAAGGCATATCACTCAACTACAAGGCATCCCAAGTAGTCAATTTTGAGAAAATAAAAGACATGGTGCTGAAGAAATCTGATCCTGTTTCTGTACTTTCTCGACAGCTACGACGTACAAGAGAGCATGCAGTAGTAACAGTCGAGTTTCCTAAGGTATACAAGATAACTTCAATGAAAAGGAAATTCTATGAAGATCATACCTCTGTACCATTTGGATTTAAGAAAATAAAGTATTGATATTAATGTATGTAAATACACTCTTCCTATGTACACAACAAACAACTTACTCGTGCGCGAAGAGAACAAGACCTACCCCCAACCCTTACCACAAACGCTATCTACGCCCGCGCCAGCACCAGCACCAGCAGAACGAGCCCCATGTGCATGCGCGCTACTAAGGGGAATGGTGACAAAAAAGGCGTTGAAAAACGGCGTTTTTTTTGTGCTTTGGTCTAGAGTGACTGGTCTAGAATGACTTTTGGTCTAGGTACGTTTTTTTTTTTGAACACGCTAAGTTTTTGAACCTCAACCACGCACTAACATTACTTCTGATGTTGTACCTCTGGCGGTTCGGGCTATCAAGACAGCTTTTTGGTATTTTTGAACAAAGTGTGCACGTCACGTGTCACGTGACGTACGCCACGTGCGTCAAGTGTCACGTGACGCACGTCACCTGTCACACGTACGTCACCTGTCACACGCACGTCACGTAGGTCACGTGACGTACGTCACGTGATGTACATCACGACTTAGCGTGTTCAAAAAACACGCACACACAATACTAACATTACTTCTGATGTACCTCTGGCGGTTCGTGTATCAGGACATCTTTGTTCAAGATCATTAGCGATCATATGTCTATAGACCAGAACGAGCCGCATGCGCATGCGCGCACTCGCGAGAGGGTAAGGGGAATGGCCACGGAGGAGCGTTGGGAATTGCTAAGTCTGAACTGAGCACGTCTGTACACTGCAGATAACTGACAAGGTAATTTGCGGTGATTCATAGGTATTTATAATCTCGATTTTACCCACCAGTTTTAACTAAGTCTGAACTGATAAGAGCACGTCTAAGAGAATTTGCGGTGATTCATAAATATTTTTATAATATCGATTTTCCCACCACTTTTTAGATAAGTCTGAGCTGAGCATGTTTTGTTCGCAGCAGATAACTGACAAGATAATTTGCGGTGATTCATAGGTATTTAAAATTTCGACCTGTTTTTACCACTTTAGAAAAATCGTTGTTTACGAAAATTAAGAGATAACCTGTCATCTTTTGCAACCGTGTGACAACAGTGTTCCAGGGTCACCGCTGTTATCGTTGGCCAATATTAACTCGTTGACACCCCCGCGAGCAGTACTTCTTGCATATCACCGCTACGACAACACCTTCACTGAACGACTATCTATCTAACCTCATTTGCGACATAGGTGATTACCAACGCACCCGACCCCGCCGTCCACCATTCAGCTATACCATCAACACCGTTCAAATTTCCCGCCGTCTGATCCACCAATCAGAGCACCCCGGTCCCAAAAACTTCTGTCTGACCGACCTGTATGGCTGAGCGACCAATGGGTATCACCATTTTAGGACACGTCTTGCTATATACGACAAGGTCCGTGTCTCCCACGAGCAATTCCACACACACCTCCCATGTGAATGGAGCTTATTTCGATCTGACGTTATACCGTCGGTTCATCGACCCGTCGGTAGGGCCCCAAAAATTTCTATCGACCCCTGTATGTGGGTCACTCTACGACACCAGTGCGACATCGACACCATCTAGCGCTTAGAGACACAACTCACACTTATCAATGATACACATAACGTTTGACAGATGACGTTTGTATGTAGCGTCATCTAGCGGCGAGAACCACAGACTATCAGGTGATGGGTAACCTGTCGGGTATTTCATTTCAGGCTACTGCAAGATGGCATATCTCAGCTATTTTACGAAAATTGAAGTTAAAATTTTAATCACTTTCTATTTATCATTAGACCTATAACCTGTAAATGTATGCTAAAATTATAGCACTCCGGTCGGTGTTGCCTTAGAAATACTATGAATTTTTCTTCCAAGAATCGCTCTCGAATTCTATCTGTTTTTATTATTGTCTTGCGTAAGACTTGCTATACATACCTAAATTGGGTTACAGAAACATTTCTGCTTCATCCCACATTCCCAGTTTATCGTAGTATTTAACTATTTAAAAAAAGTAAATGTCATAAATATTAATACTAATATAAACGTAACACTTTTCAACAGTTCATCTTCAAACGAAGACATTTGTGGTTTAATATTCACGAAGGAAAGATCAACTGCCAAAAATATTGCACCATGTACTGAAAGATTTGAGTGAACATGTACCAGAGTTCAGACATATAAAGCCGGATTTCGTTGTGGGATATAACGGAAACTCTTTTAATAGCACCGTAGAATCACTTCCGATTAATAAGAAGAACAGATAAGTACTTGATCGTTTTTAGAAACAAGGAGATTAACATTTTAGTGGCGCCAAATGTAAGAGAAGGTGTAGATATACCAACTTGTACTATGGCTGTCAGGTAATTTTATTCACTAGTTTCTCATTGATTCGCTTGAATAAATCAAGATATGCTAGAGGAAAGCTCGTCACCGATAAATTGCATATAATCACTAGCTCAAGCATTCTAGCCAGATCTTTGCATATCAATTAAAATTAAGTTTGAGTCACTGTTCGTAGGCTCTAGGGTACGAACGCAGCATCGGTTTCGACCGAATTTGGCCAAAAATGCCCCTTCGACGACACATTTGGTCGTAGGCTCATGAACCCTACGGGCAAAGGTTTGGAAAAGATCTGGTCGCGTACCAAGCGGACATAAACATGGTCAGCGTATGAAAAATACTTTTTCCTCAACAATTAAACAATTACATGGCTTCTACAATATCTGATTGTTACTTTCTACCATATTCTATCCGTAATTTCAACAAGAATATTAAGTGACTCTACTTTGTTGCATTTTGTTTTTTTTGCTAGCGCCATAGTCTAACCTTTTACATGCACAAAAATAGAGGACCCACCGGTAAATTGTCGATACGGCTGACCAAAGAACTGAGGAGATTATAAGTAACTATTCTAAATTAAGTATATTTCGGTGTTTACCCTGTATCCCCTACCATTTATAATATGTATATTATTTTGATTTTTTAATTGTATAATTTTAAAAATATCTGCATTTTAATAGTACATATGTTTTATTATCAACTTTGTAGATTAATGTATGGTCTTATCGTGAAACTGCTTTTGCAGTAACTATTATTTCCGTTATAACGGTGGGAAGCAAATATGTGTTTTCATATCCCAACGAATGTCAAAGGAAACAGTATTATCGGATACCAGCGCTGATAGATGTTATGCCTTTTCAGTATGTGTTTTTTTCTGTAGCCTTCGGTTGTCTCTGGTGCTGTTTCGAAGTTCTATGAGGTTATCGTGCTTCTCAATTTTTTCGGTGCTCATAAAAAATAGTATAGCTATTATCGAAAATATAGTTTTTATTTCTACTTTTCGTAATAACCATTTACGTAGTGATACGAAGTTCTACATGGTTATCATGCTTCTCAATTTTTCGTGCCCGTGCAGTACAGTGTTGGTACCCGTGCAGTGCAGTGCCCAACACGTAAGATAGTAAAATGATTATTATTGTAAAAATAGGAATTCAAAACTCTATTTTATTAGTAATAATCGATTACTTTTACGTAGTTTCCTCTCTACACTGCTTATGAATCTGCTGTATTTTTTATTTTCCAAGATATGTTTTTTTTTTGTGATTATACAAAGTTCCACATGGTTACACTGCTTCTCAATTTTTTTGGTGTATATTACTGCAGGCGTTTAATAATAACAATGCATACTTTTAAATATTTTATATGGAGTAAAAAGGCTGAACAATTTCGGGTGCAAAAATATTTTTCAATTAGGCGGGAAATAAAAAACAAAAAATCATTTGCATACATTTTATTTTACATGTTTATTAAAAAATATTTACATACATTAATAAATCAATACTTTATTTTCTTAAATCCAAATGGTACAGAGGTATGATCTTCATAGAATTTCCTTTTCATTGAAGTTATCTTGTATACCTTAGGAAACTCAACTGTTACTACTGCATGCTCTCTTGTACGTCGTAGCTGTCGAGAAAGTACAGAAACAGGATCAGATTTCTTCAGCACCATGTCTTTTATTTTCTCAAAATTGACTACATACTTGGGATGCCTTGTAGTTGAGTGATATGCATTTTACTTTACATACGATCTGTTCCTCTCCAGACAAAGTAGTATATTTGTAGGCGTAGTTCTTAGGTCCTCCAGAAACAAACTCTGATATGAAACCTCCATTGAGCTCATCGGTCATATCACCTATGAAGTCGCCTGTAGATATGTCGTCTAATCCCTTACGAGAGATATAAATACATGAATCTGTATCTATGTAAACTGCCCTTTCTTCCACTTTCTCCAAGAATGAATATAATTTTAGTCTAGCTAGGGCCGTGACATATGAAGCCAATACAACGTTAAACGTTGAAGAAACGTCATAGGCCTCTTCTCTAAATTCCCAAGTTATGAGAAGGGTTTCTTCGTTTACCGGGAGAACTGTATTTACATGAATAGAAGGATTAGTCAGCATATCAAAGAATTCACCACAGTCTCTGACTATTGAGGTTTTGTTTTGGTTTTCTTTTTGAGCAAATTTACCCCAAAAGGAATTCAGCATAAGTTTAGCTAACGATCTCAAACAGGGGTTCTCTATAATTTTTGAAAATTCCAGCTTTATGTCTTCTCTATCCAAAAATGCATCAATATAACGGTTTTTTTCTTCATCCGTTAAGCAATGTTTGGGCCATCCTGAAGCTTGTTGTTTTATTTGTAGAAACTTGTTCATCATTCCGCTAAATAACCCCTCTTGGTCTTTACTGAGCTGAATTGTATCGTATTCCCATATTTCGTAAGTCTCTATAATCTGGTAACCTTTTTCAATAGCTTTGAGCACCTCTTCTATCACCCAAGTTCCTTTTAGGCTTCTTTCTTGAATAGAATGCTGACACTCTTCTCGAACGAAATCTTCACCACATTTTTGACAGTTAACAAACATCAATTTGTTGTTCATTTTTGACGGTAAAACGGGGTGATATAAGTTCTGGTTCGGTAGAATCTGGCATTTAATAAGTCCTGACATTTGCGACAGAGAGGCTGTAACACATTCTTCACCTACGTAATTTTTTTTTGGATGACCCACCGGAAATTTTCCATATTTACAGATGAAGGGGTACAGGGAACATATATCGACATATTTTATGCATTCATTTGTTTTGATCTTGTAGTATTCAACGATATTTTCTGTACGTCCCCCGTAGAGAGCGTCTCTGGGGTTAATCGGTAAATTGATTATCAATGGATGTGCTTCTGTGAAGGCTCTAATTTCATCGTTTAGCATTCCTCGAAATTGACATTCCCATATCTCAATTACTTCTAGTCCAAGGCTTCGGAGTCTCTCTACTTTGCTAACTGATTGTTCGTATCGACTTTCCAATGTATTCAACGGATCATTATGCAGAGGATTGCTTCTTTTGTATTTGAAACATCGAGGGCAACCGTGAAAATAGCATCCTTGGAATTCAAACACTTGATTTGTGTCGCTACAAAAACCGTCTACTTTATGTCCCTTAACAATGGTTTCTATACCCTTAGCGGCGTGTTGAATTTTGATTCCTCTTTGATGTTCCTCCCACAACAGCCATTGGATGGCAATTTTTGACTGATTTTCACGCCATCTATAGCCCCCTTTTGGAATTACCCCGATCGTCTCAGGTTTTAAAAAATTGCGTCTAAAGACTTTGTTACAGCATGATGCAATAGTGGTGCTTTCCTGGAAGGGATCGACTGTGGTTTCGGTTTTCATCAGGTCTCGAAATTTGAGACACGCCTGTGTCAATATTTCCACATCGGAGATACAGTATTCAACGATTTCTTTCTGAAAATCAAAAACGTATCCCTCCGCTTGTCTTTCGCCATGCCATTTTAATAATTTTTCCCGAGCGTCTTCCTTTAAATGGTCGGGATCGTAGAAGTCGAGCGCTGGAATTGGCCCTACATAATTCTGATGAGCCAAAGTGTTGAATAAATGTGGAAAGTATCCTTTCTTTAGCTCTTTCAAATCAAACGCCTTGGGTAGAGCAGTTAGAGGCATAGGAAAATAATTGAGAGAATCCAGAAATTTTACATTTCCTACCTCCATCAATATTAATTTTGTTCCTCTCATAATTACATTCGGGTACAGACTAGTCTTCTCTAAAATGTAACGAAGTAGAAACTGATGATCAAATCCTCCACCATTATGCGCCAGTACAATGACTTTCTTGAATTTTTTACGAAGTGTCAGAATATGATGCATAAATGGAGAAATGACGTCTTGACATCGAAGAATCTGTATTCGAAGGCCACATTTCTTGCATATAGGATTATCGGTACATGATTCACAACATTGTTTGAATACACATAGATTTGGCTCATGCAGTAAAGATCCATTGGGTAATTCCTTCTCCTGACGGGTTTCCAAATCGTAAAATATTAATAAGACATCATTTGATTTAGGAATACTTCTGTCAGGCTGTATATAGCACATATGTTCAATTGGTTGATTTTTATAATATGTTTTACAAAGTATATATCCGCAGATGTGATCATTACCGTTGTGAACTTTAAAACAGTCTACACATCTTTTAATTTTAGAACAGACCGATGGTAAATGAGCGTTAAAACATTCTTGTCCATAAAAGCTTCTATTACATTCTTTGCATTTGATGTGCTTCGTTTTCAGGCAGGCCGGAGATCTTTTACAAGCATAACATTGTTTATCACATCTATGAATTTGTTTAGTATTATACGGAATGTGGCAGTTCTCACAAAAAAAGCTGCAGCAAAAGGCAGCAGTGAGGGATGTTATGACGCTGTAGTGCCCCTCGTGATATATTAGGTTAAGCGTCGGACCAGCGGACACGCCTTCAAAAATGACGTCACGACCTTTGCACCCAAACTTGTATACAACAATTTTGTAGTTTTGCAGATATCGTTGTAGCTTTTGAAGTTCAGGTATTCCACACCCCTCCTCAGGGATAACAATATCAGCCTTTTCCACAAGTTGTACAGCTCTTTGTCCTTGTATTTTTCCTCGATCACGGCGGATTCTGCTATAATCTTTGTCTTTGTTCAAATGGGCCATGGCGATGACAAGGGCTCGTGGGAGACACAAATTATCGGTGTTTTTAACGGTGATAATGCCTTTTCTTTTGGCGCATTCCTCATCAAAGGTATTGAAATTCTGAGCTCTACCACGACCAGCAGGCAACCTTACGGACGTAATACCCAAGCAAAAAGTCTCGGTATTCAACCCCACAGAATTTGACTGATAGATGGAAGATATCTTCTCCCATATGTCCTCAGTTGAAACGTCGGAAAACAATTTAAAAGCTATCCATCCTTGACCGCGGGTAAAGTCTTTGGAACAGAAAGTGAATCCAACTTGATCACTGGGCTGGAGATGTTCAGTTCCTTTGGCTACTATTTCCTCCAGAGCGTCTTTGATCCATCCCACAGGTTCGACGTCTTTAGGGATAGGTCGTATTTTAAATTCCACTTCTCGCCCATATAGATTAAATTTTTTAATCTTCTTAGTAGAATCCTTAACGATGAAGAATTTTTCCATTTTTTAAAAACTAAAACGTTAACTAGCGACTAAATCTGAACTGAGCACGTCTGTTCGCTGCAGATAACTGACAAGATAATTTGCGGTGATTCATAGGTATTTATAATCTCGATTTTACCCCCACCACTTTTTAACTGACCACAGTGTTTCAAGGTCACCGCTGTTATCGTTGGTCAGTATTAACTCGTTGACAGCCTGCGCTTCCTGCCCATTCACCATGCTTAACAGCCCCGCCCGGTACTTCTTGCATATCACCGCTACGACAACACCTGCCCTGAACCTAACCTCATTTGCGACGTAGGTGATTGCCTTGTTGAATTTATTAGATACACAATATAGACTGTACTATGTTTTCAATATTGTATCAATGTTAAAAATTAACTAACATTAACTGTATGCACCACATATATGAGCAATTCCATTTTTATATGCACACTGAATATGACGTGTTGATTATTGAGATCATCCTATACGCATTGTTTCCCGCGAATTTTATACGTTTTTCCATTTAAACTGAATCAGCAGAATTGCATCTATAAATATCATTATTCATGGGCTTTTATCGATCTATATGCAAATATTTACCGCAAAACATGAAATGAGTCACATCGCTTACGCATAGACGTTATACTACACCTTACTATCGTCGGCTGTCTGAATCACTTCCGGTCGGGTGCGCCATCTAACGGGGCTCGCCAATCAACATATACCATCAACCCGTTCAAACTTCCCGCCGTCTGATCCACCAATCAGAGCACGCGGTGGATCTAGCGGTTCCCGCCAATCAACATATACCATCAACCCCGTTCAAATTTCCCGCCGTTTGATCCGCCAATCAGAGCACGCGGTGGATGTGGTGGGCGTGGCCAAAAAGTGGAAGTGGTGGGGGGCGCCCAGAGTGCACCAGTATCTACTACTAATAGTACTTTAATGTGTTATAGATTTTACTTTCGACATGTTACAAGTATAATGAATAATACAGAGAATTTACAATTTATATTAAGACAATTCCCATTATGAACCGTGTGTTTATGAAGGTTCTTTTTCAGTGCCAAAGACCTAGTGAAATCTTTAAAACTAGAAGGCAAGGTGGAACGTAAACTGAAGAAACTAGAGCACGAAGCAAAGAAAAAGGAAAAGAAGTTGGCTAAACTCTTGAAATCAAGTGACAGCGATGTTGGTGGCCAAAGTAGCGGAGGCCGCAGTCGTGGAGAAAGGGACGATGACGATTCTTCAGTTTTACAAATGGACGCAGCTCCTGTTAAGGTAAGTTGCTTTCTATTGCATGATTTTAAAACATGTGTCCTTGACCATTTTTAGACTGAGGATTTCTGAAAGTAATCTGAGTCATCAAAATTTTTCTTTGTGTCGCCAGCGTCTCGTGCAACCAGTCGCGGGATGTAAATCAAAGCGTATATTACAGTATAACATCACTTATTAAATATACATAGTCATGCCATAAGTTCTGTCCCTCGTTTTCAAACAAGTGTAGACCTGTTAATACTTGTCCGATTGTTTACATTGTGGTGTCAGTTGATTAAGCGCTTTTCGGGTAATTACATATACCTCAGTTTGTATTGATCTCTCGAAGCATAACGATGGAGTGGGGCAAGGCAGAGAACCGTATTGCAGTGATAGCTTTACATAAGTGTAATCACAGTGCTAGTCAGATTTTTGAACTCTTACGCGGCCTTCAAATATCGCGTAAATTTGTGTCTAGGACCATTCAGCGGTACAATGAGACGTCCTCTGTTGATGACAGGCCAAGAAGCGGAAGACCTCGTCAAGTAAGGACTCCAGCAGCCATCAAAGCCGTAAAAGCCAGGATTCAAAGGAATCCACTCCGGAAGCAGAAGATCCTATCCAGGGAAATGAAGATTCCTGTCCGGACGATGTCGCGCATCATTAAACAAGACCTAGGGCTAGGGGCTTACCGGAGACGTACGGGCCAGCGACTTACGGCCACCTTGCGACACATCAGGGCGACAAGATCCAAGAAGCTCTTGGAGAGGTACGCAGCTGGGGGATTCCGAAAGATTTTGTTCACGGATGAGAAAATCTTCACCATAGAAGAAAAATTCAACCGACAAAATGACAAAGTGTATGCAAGGAGTTCACAGGAAGCTTCGGAGATCATTCCGAGAGTTGAGAGAGGCCACCACCCTGCGTCAGTCATGGTTTGGTGGGGGGTGTCCTACGAAGGGGTCACTCAGCTCCATTTCTGTAAACAGGGCGTGAAAACAAAAGCGGCAAACTATCAGAGCGACATACTGGATCCTATCGTCAAGCCTTTAAGTGGTACATTGTTTGCCAACCAACACTGGGTCTACCAGCAGGATTCCGCCCCCGCTCACAAGGCTAAGAGTACGCAGCGCTGGCTGGAAAGCAATGTGCCAGAGTTCATTGCTGCGGAAGATTGGCCCTCAGGGAGTCCGGACCTCAATCCTTTAGACTACAAGTTGTGGGACCTGCTAGAGCAGTTGGCCTGCTCCAAAGCCCACCGTAATATCGAGTCCCTGAAAGCGGATTTGATCCGATCAGCGGCAGCTATTCCTTTGGAAGCTGTGCGTGCAGTGATAGATGAGTGGCCCGCGAGATTGAAGCAGTGTGTGAAGGCCAAGGGGGGACACTTTGAATAAAACTGTTTGATTATGAATTCTAAAAATGTTGTCGAATAAATAATATCTTTCATATAAATATATCTTATCTTGTTTCATTTTTATCATGAGATTATCATGGGACAGAACTTATGGCACGACTACGTAGGTGAAACGTGACTCCATGGGACATAAAACATAAAAAGCGATATCACGCGGCGAAAATTCATCTCCGTTAATAAAAAATGGCGTCAAGTAGGTTGACGCTGCACTCCCCATGCAACGCCCTTCAGTTCATAAAGGACTCTGTTCCACGCAAGTTAAATCCTATGAAAAAAGAGGGTACATAGCTACGAAAATGTCTAACAGAAATTAAACATCAAGTCAATCAAACAGGCCCACTCAATTAGTCCATAGACATTCTTTTCCTGCTCTATCGGTAGTCCATCTGGCAACATCGCCTTTCCCCGATACCTGATGACTCAACGCGGCAACATGGCAGTAAGGCCAGAACATTTGCCAAGGCCGGTATGCTCGTCGATGATTCCAGACAGCGGAAGCAGTGACGCGCATCGAAATAGTTTCCTTATCATAGTTTTAAGGAAAAATGTGCTGTGAAATCTATGATGTGTGAAATGTCTAGTAGTTCCGTAGAACTGCCGAGGTTGGGAGTTTATAAACATACTGAAATTAAACAAATTGTTAAAATTTATTATAAGCGGTTATAAGACCGACAGACAGAACTGACATGGTTTTTCGTGATGTATTCTCTTAGCTCCGCCGCTACGGGGCAGATATTCGAAAACTATTTCATCAAAATCCGACCGGTATTTTCCTAGTTATAGACGGGCCAAGGAATAGCTAACAGACAGACTGACACAGACCGACGGAAATGAATGACATGGTTTTTCGTGTTGTTCATGTCATATAGCATCAAAAAAACATAATATCCCGTTTTTGAGATTATTCGCGATTACATTACTTTCTCG